GACAACTTCCTCGTTAGTCACGACTTCCAAAACCATCACAGTTAGCAGACACTCTGTGTGAATGACCGTTGGAACATCCTTATTGGGTCTGCATAACTATCTGTTATTCGTTCACTTAACTTCTAACTCTGGATTAGAATAATGACATGCCTGCATCATATCATCTTTATTTTGATCCTTGTGCTAATTATGACGGACTTCAGATATTTTATAGTGTTATGGGGGCGTTGATTTATTTCACACTCGACAAGCTTCTAAGTGGTAGTCCAACAGATTCAGGCCTGGAGAGATTAGGAGACCATATGTTTGGATTGACATGATCATGAAGATTGTAACTGGAACATTCTTCTATCGTTTTGGCCTTATGAAATGGTGCAGAGTCTTGTTTGTACATGTACAGTTTTTCCTTTGCTCACGTTTTCTATCCAAGGTCTCGCAAACCTCTCCAATAATATAGTCAGCAGCATTGGCCATTAAACCTTGAGGAAACAACCAATGACATCTAAGTTCTCCTCACTAGCAGCTTCTTTTTTTTCTTTTACTCTCAGTGGCTTTATCGCATTGCTTGGGGGTAAAATAATTAAAAACGCAAAAAAAAAAAAAAAACAAAAAAAAACTATAACATTTGGAAAGGATAAGAGAAAGGGATTGGATACAAGGAAATGTCAGCGAAGAGAGGACAGCTGTTAGTCCAGTAACCATGGATTTTTCAAAGATACAGCGAGTTGTAATAAAATGGACGTGTGGCGTCGTAAAGCAGAAAAAAGAAACCTGCTTTCCTGGCTATCCGAAAGCAAAGATCTTCTAAGATACCTTTCATTTATGTTTGAAATGCCGACACAAAACATAGCTGTAGATGTCTGGACTTGTGGAACTCGGGAATGAATGTATCGATTCACATGAAGAAGCTCGTTGTGTGGAACTTTCTCTTTACGAAAGCGATACGAACGAAACGACGATGATTCAACCATATGTACGTGTCATGGCGGATCTTAGCTGTAGATATCTGTAATTGTGGAACTAGGGAATGAATGTTGCGGTTCTCATGAAGAAGTTCTTTGAGTGAAACTTACCACTGGCATAAGAAGGAAACGGAGATGATTCGACTCTGTGTAGGCATTTGTAGCTATCAGAGCTTCGATATTAACTCGAGTGAGGATTTAATGACGATCTTGTAAATATCCTTAGTAAATTACAAACGAGCGGGAAAAGAAGAGGATTTATAGTGCCATTAAAACTGATTACCTTCTGTGAATTTGCAAAATAATACATTGACCCTGTGTAATGTAACTTCATTGAAAAACCAACTCGTATTCCGTAAATGTCAAACGAAATAATAGTGAGAAAAGCCGTTGGTCGATGGCCATTATCAAGTCAAAATGCTTTTCCATTTCTAATACCAAGAATTATAACATTTTTTATTAATAATAAAACTGACACCGTTAACAAAAGTAACTTTGTACTTTTAGCTCTTCAGTGAAAAATTATGACTAATTCTAGAAAGTTGAAAGCTAAGAGAGAAGTAAAAGAAAAAAGAAATAGAGAAAAGAGGTCCAAAAAGTGGAAGAGAAACAAAGAAAGAACTAGAATGAGAAGTGAATGTATAAAAAAAAAGAAAGGAAGAAAGAAGGAAATAAAATGAAAGAAAGAAGAAAGCGGAAAAATATTAAGTGAAAAAGAAAAAATGAAAGAAAGAAAAATATTTTATTAAGAAGAAGAAGATAAAAGCTAAATGAAGAAAAAGAAAGGATAAATAAGCGGAAAGAGATTTTGTAAAAAAAAAAAAAATAAAGAAGAAAAGACTATTTATATTATTCGAACGATTGTTCTCATATTTGTTGCCATATTTATCACATTGTTTCGGCTGGTGTACGTTCGGAAGAAAAGAGAACAAGAAGAGGAAGAAAGAAAGCAACGAAAATGTACGAGGGAGAAGATAGGATTGAAAGAAGTGGAAGAAAGAAGAAGAAGATAAGAAAAAAAAGTGGAAGAAAATGAATAAAGGAAGGAAAGATAGAAAAAGATAGAAAGAAAAAAGAAAGAAAGAAAGAAAGGAGTCTAATAAAAAGTGATAAAGACTAAAGACAGAAAGAAAAAGAAAGAAGGTAAAGAAAAAAGAAGGAAGATAAAGAAAAAAGAAAGAAAAAGAAAGAAAGAAGATAAAGAAAAAAAGAAGAAAAAAAGAAAAAACAAAATAAAAAAGAAAAAAAGCAGATAAAGAAAATAGAAAGAAAAAAAGATAGAAGATAAAGAAAAAGAAAGAAAGAAAGAAAGAGAATGATGAGAAAAAGAAAAAAAAAACTGAACAAGTAGCGGAAAGCCAAATAAATAAGTAAATAATAACAAGAAAAGCATATTTGTATGATGCCAAATAATATGTTTCATATCCAGAGCTGGACAAGAAGCTCCTGTTCAAATGCCTTGCATAATGGCCTCTGTAAAAGAGAGAGGCAGATCACCAATCGACACTTGTCCACATTGCTCTTGAAACTGCCAAGAGTAATTTTAATGGTGTCCGCTAGATATTACTTCTCTGACGTTGTGCTGCTTAAAAGCTAAGGTACACGGCCAACAAGCTTCATCACACCCACATTACACACACACACACACACACACACACACACACACACACACACACACACACACACACACACACATATGTATAGAATTTCGTTCATAAATTTCTGTTTATGTCTATAAAGAAGATCACACCCGTACACACACACACATATATGAGTGTGTGTGTGTATGTGATCTATATATATATTATATATATATATATATATATATATATGAAGATCACATACGTACACACACACACTATATATATATATATATATACATATATATATGGTGATTGCCGCATCTTACTAAGATGAGAGGCACCTCCTCACTCCTCGCATAATTTGAAATGTCTTCCGTTTGGTTACGACGCCCATAGCCTCTAAGTTGACTCTTGAGGCCAACATTTCATTTCATAGGTATCAGGCATAGATGGCAGATAACCTCTGAATCCTTGATTAGGTTGTTTGGATCCTGTCTACTCTCCTGTCTATTACCACGTGCCTTTTCAGTACAGATGATGATCCATAAACCCTGTTGCAAACAATACAGGTAGCGTCAGCAGGATGATGAGGATGGTTGGCTTGCTCTTCTGGTTGTCATGATGACCTTTCAGATGGTTGACATAAGTTTCCCTCGACAAAAGCATTTTCTCTTACACACATACCACTTTTCTATGACTGCACATTAACTGGCAAATCATAGTGAATGTCTCTTCAGAGATCACGGTTGATCTGAGTATACCTGAGGAATTCATCTTCAACGGCATTACAATCCTGCCTTATAAAGTGTCTTCACTCTGTACGATTTAAAGTCATTTCTTTCCAATGCTTTACATCTATGTGAAATGCATTTAGACTATTCTTCAAATTATCTTTACACCACTTTCCAGGCTAGTGTTCTGGACGTTTTCCTTGTCACCTGTTATCTGTTGAAAAGTTGTTTAGGAATTCTGTTATCTCCAATTCTAACAACGTGTCCCGCTCATCATATCCCGTTGAAAATTATGGTTGTTTCAATGCTGTTGCATTAAGATGTTTGGATGACAACAGTTACTGGAATTAAAAACCGTCATTTGATGTTAACTATGCGTCTCAGGCATTTTTGCTTGAATCGCTCAAGCCATTTTATATACAGCCGGTATATTCTCCATTGTTTTAGAAACGTACAGCGGAGATATTAAGACACAAGCCATATAGACACTTACTTTAGTCTTGGTGGTAATGCCATTATCCAAAATCTACTTTCCAATTTGCCAAATACAATACGCCATCTGAAAGCATCTTTTGATACAGTATTTCCAAATTATAGGAAATTGTCAACAGCATCCAGCTTGGCATTTTCCCCAATTATTATTGGTTATTTTTAGGCCACAAAAAAATTAGTGAACAATACTTTTGTCTTCCTCAGCGCATAAACAGCATAAGCGTCAGAGATATTAAATATGTAGTTGAAATAAAATTAATAATTAAATATTTTATGTTAAATAATAGTTTCAGACTATTATTTTTAGTGGCGGTGTATTTTGACGCAGAACTTCTGAGGCTGAATAAAATTAATAATTAAATATTTTATGTTAAATAATAGTTTCAGACTATTATTTTTAGTGGCGGTGTATTTTGACGCAGAACTTCTGAAGCTGATCTTTAAGGTCAGATGGTAGACAAAATAGGGATGTCAGTTTTGATTGGCTGAGCCGAACATAGGAATGTTATAGTTAAAAAATGTTTCCAGGGAGTTAAATTTTACACGTCGAAGAATGCAGACATGTTTTCTGAAACTACCCCCAATTGGGGTGGGATAGAAACCCCACTGGCTAATTAAAAAATCCACACGTCGACGTGTTTAATAAAAGAGATAAATTAAAAATCCCTTTTGTTTAAGTTCTCATTGTACCGACAAAAAAAACTAGCGATCATCCGGGCGGAAGGTGACAGAAAGAAGAAAACAGCATATGAGTGAATCAAGACCGTCGTCCCAAGACTCTCTCCAGCGCGAAGGGGACTATGAAACAACGATATCCAATTATAAGCTATAAATCTTCGTCAGAGTGCGCTACAAAGTTTGCATCATCAGCATACAGCAAATTCCGGTTCAGGCACTCTGACTTCTTGGATTAGGGTTTTGAATCTTCTGTGATTGAACACTCTTCCTGATTTTCTGAAGCTGAAGGAAACTTTTGCCTCACACTCCTCTGCAGCATAAGTGATAAGAACACAGCACAATAGATTGAGATAGAAGGTATAGCCTCGTCTGGCTTCTTATCTACACAGAGGCAGAGAGTTCGACAAGCACACCTCCGAAGTTATTCGATAACTTTATTTTAATCCCAACATGATGACCAAGGAGTAAAGAAAAGCGGAACTTGAGAAACACTGGCTCGGACAGTTCATCGATGCCGAATGTTTCCTTATAAGGAGACGACTAATATTATTATTACCATATATATTGTTGTAACCAAGGGAAGGTTACTAAATAGAATAATCAAATAAATGTTGTTAATGAACGATAATACATAGGACAAGAACAACACATACAAGATTCGCCAGCGGCGTGTAGAATAAGTAGTCAACTGCTAGAAGCGAGTTAAGTGAAATCCACGATGAATCTCCAACGGCAGACCATCATACAGTATTTACTACTGTATTTATATGAATGGGGACATACCCATTATTGTCCGTAGGTATGCTACAACATGCTCTCTCTCTCTCTCTCTCTCTCTCTCTCTATATATATATATATATATATATGGTAAATATTCATGTTATAAACATTATTCACTCCATCTTTCTAATATTAATCTAACAATACTACACAGACCTCTATCCAATATTATCTAAGTACCACTTTTCTCTGCTGACATTGTGGACAGCTTATCTATTTTCGTATGTGGATTTTTGTATGACTCTCTTGTTAAATATATTGTCTTCTATATTTAACAATTTCACAATTATTAGCAAAAAATCCAGACGCAATGTCGGGAAAATTAAAGAAACTTTTGGATAAAAATTTATTCCTTACACTTACATGTTAGTAGAGGAACCCCTTCCCTTCACTGCAATCTTAGTAATAATGTTACATTATTTTTATATAGGTCTAAAGAATAAATGGATTTATTTTTAATTCGCCATTTTGAATACTTTGCTGGTTACTATAGCGGATACTTCATATTTTCAATGTCTATGACGTCTGTCGGTCTGCGCTTTCGAGAAATCTCAGTAAAAATAAAAACGTTCAATGGATAGTATCGAACTAGCATCTCCCTTTTTTATAGGGAAACCCCCTTTTTACCTAGTGTGTTTTACCGCTCGGCCACGAAGAATGTCATCACATACAGGGCTCAATTTTCCTTTTAATTATTTTTAAGATAAATGTCCCTTTATTTAGCTTGCTGTGACGTTCTTTTTGACACACTGCATCAAGCAGTGCGTTTGTTTCAAATACGAAGCACCCGCTATAATAACATTTTAAGTAAACTATTTCTCGTCGTCGTCGTCGGGTTTAATTTCTTCTTTGCTGATTGTTTTCTTTATTGATAATGCCGTTGATGTCTAAAATTGCCGCCAACGTACAGGTTCAAGACTAGAAGCTTTCAGTTTCACCAAAACCATCATCCCGTCATCCATTCTTTATCACCGTTTGGTTTTGCAAAAATTGGTTGAAGGTGAAAAAAATCAGAGTAGAAAAAAATGCCGATGGTCGGAATTTGTTTGAGGTGGACTTCAACTTGATAGTTATAAAGCTACAAACAGTGAATCTGGCTGTGTTATAATTCCGCCATTTTCTTCGCTACATAAACAAGATAAGAAAATCATCAAAAATATGATTTTTAGTTACTTAGATGTCACTTAGTGATTGCAACAGATACCTATGATTTATTATTTATTATGAAAATTAAAACATCCAGCCTAGTCCATACTAATAAAATCAAACATACATAAAAAAAAATCTCTTCATAACTCTCCAGTGTTGTCTATAATTCCTTATGCCCTTTGGAAGATCGAATATTGAACATGACGAAAAAGCAACATTATTTGCAATTGTTTCCTATAAAATAACTTCAAAGACTTATAGGCAAATTATACAGACGACTATTCTGATATAAACAAAACTAAAAAAATATATATTTAAAAATAACTATACAGAAAATTGAAAAAAAATAATTGATTCTTTTATAACCAGAAGGAAAGTAAATATAAACAAAATGAAAAATTCATTGAAAACATAAGTTATAAATGGTGGGTAGAATAGGGATTAGGAGAGATAGAGAAAAGACACAACTTACTAAGAGCTACAAAGAAGGGAAATCATGGAGGGCAATGATCGCGCATTCTCCGAATGGACACGGTACATGTAAGAAAAAGAAGAAGAAGAAGAAAAAAAAAGAAGAAGAAAAAAGAAGAAATTGAAAAGAAGAAGAAGAAGAAGAAGAAGAAGAAGAAAGGAGGAAGGATTGAAAATGAAGGTGGAAGAAGAAGAAGAAGAAGAAAGAGGAGGAGAAGAAGGAAGAAGAAGAAATTGAGGACGTAGAAGAAGGGAGAAGGAAGAAAATGATGAAAGAGAAGGAGAAGGGAAAGAAGAAGAAGAAGAAGAAGAAGAAGAAGAAGAAATTGAGGACGTAGAAGAAGAGGAGGAGGAGCGGGAAAATGATGAGGTGGAAGAGAAGAGGAAGGGAAGAAGAAGAAGAAGAAGAAGAAGAAGATGATGAGGTGGAAGAGAAGGAGGAGAAGAGAAGAGGAAGAAGAGGAAGAAGAGGAAGGAGGAGGTGGAAAAGAAGAAGAAGAAGAAGAAGAAGAAGAAGAAGAAGAAGAAGAAGAAGAAGAAGCAGCCTATATAATCTTAGTGGCTAACTATTATCGAATTGACATTTCATAACGTGCTAGCATTTGCATGAGATTTCCGTTCTTCTATTTCGCAAATCGTCAAGGTGGGCAACATGAAACATTTGACTCGGTATAACGCGCGGCTGTCATTAAATCATGAGAGAAGTCTATTAACAGAATGCATATAAAAGTTATTGCGAATATAGATGTGAGATGAGGACAGGAATAATTCGAATACCCAAAAGACAAAGAATGGCAAATGCGTGAGGGAAGGAAATACCATTTCATCAAATGCATTTGCCTTGATTCTTGAAAGCATCTCTTGGAAAATGAACTGAGAGGGAATGGAAGTAAACGATAATGGACAATATTTAAATTATCTACAATTTGCTGACGGAATTTTCCTGACCTCGGAATCATCAAAGCAGTTACCAAAATGGCTACGTAAGCTAATTCGTGAATGTAAGTTTCAAAATGAAAGGGAAGTAATGTTCAATTGTGACCTTTTTAAAAATATTTGTTTAGTGGCATATAAAATTGTCATGGGTCATTTAATGCTGAAATTTAATTTTCTTGAGAACATTATTAATTTCTTTTACAAATATTATATTGCTGGTAATTTAAAAAAAATGAAGTTTGCTGGTAATTTAAAAAAATGTATTGCTGGTAACTTTTTAAATATGAAAATATATTGCTGAAATTTTTACTATAAAAATGTATTTTTATTCTTTTATAATCTGTTGACCCCAGTTTGGCGATTAAATATTTGTCCATAGGTGGGACCTTAACAGGTGCTACCGCCGTGGGTCCGGATGAATCTGGGAACAACAGCAATTAAGAGGTGTTTCTACACTTCTTAAAACCGCCCGATCAGAGGCCTTGATGCCGGATGCAGATTATCGTCATGACCAGGGACGTATAAAAAAGATGATAACATCAAACGAATAACGAGAAGAAGCCTTGGAATGCATATAATTTCAACGGATCATGGCACTAAAGACTACAGAAATAAAAGAAAAAAAACGACGCATAACAATAAAGTGAACGGGTGTTAATAAAAATACTTATATAATGTAAATACCTTTCTTAATATACTAAAACGAGTTAAGTAGTATAAGCTCCCTAGTAGACGAAGCATACTAGTAGGCTCTGATTAAAAAGGAAAGAACGCTCAAAATGGAATCTGCTATTTGAATTAAGATACACGTACACCCTTGTGCAAATTAATTGAAGCCAAAGGAATAATTCCGTTATTATTTCGTTTTTTTTTTCGTATTTTTCCAATTAAACATGGCCCAGTGCACATCTTAGTACTTCTTATGTCCATTCCACGCAGTCGTTACTTGCAGATTGACCACAGATTTTCGATTGGATTTAAATCAGAATTTCCGTGTCAGTCTAGTTACTTAGATGTCATCTAGTGATGACAACAAAAACCTATTTATTATTTATTATGAAAATTAAAATATCCAACCTAATCTATACTTTGATTTGCTCTCTGTTAAACCTTGCCAATGTGTTCGTGTAGCGTTACAATTTTCGTACGCTTCCTTGGTGTAACGTCTATCGCATACAATCTCCGTGTGACAACTAATCGACAGTCGAGACAATAGCGTATGGGCATGATAAAAATCAGATGCAATCATGGATGACGCAATATATCCATGATATCTTTAGCATCCTTCTGTAGAACCACATCTCTGTCGCCTCGAGTCTCTTCATCTTTGAGGAAATCGTCCAACATTCGCTATATTATTAAAAATGCATTTATAAATAAAATACAGAACTGGGAAAGGTTATTTGTGGTTTAGGACAGTGAAAAGTAAATTCAGAGACAAGTAAATTCGACTGAAGTCGTTTTTCGACTTAAGTCGCCTCTCCTGGAAGAAATTCAAACGATATTAAAGCGGTTGTTCGTATTTTAAATCGAACGAGGAAGTGTGCTTTCCTTAGAAAGTAGAAATATGTGATGCTTTTTGTGGTCTAGTGGTAAAGCATGCTTGATTAAGTGGTGGTTTCTCCTACAATGGAGGAGTGCCGGTTTCGATCTCTACCGGAGAGAACAATTTCTTTATTGAGATTTCTCGAATGTTCATGCCGACAGACCGAATACTCACTTTTGAAAATAAAAAAAAACGGGGCATCTATTTCAAATAAGAGTGTCAACTATAATAACCTTTGTACTATTGGATATATGAATAAAGACAAAAGGAACACTTTTCTTTACCGACGCGTTTCGCTCTCTGATGGACTTTATCAAGGTAAATGTAAAGATTATATTTTGCAACAAGTATTTATAAACAAAAGTAAAAAATGTCGTTAGTTATTAAATTTTAAGATCGCTCAAGAATATTCTTCAGGCTAACTGTGAAAGTGGGGGTAAACTATGGAGGATGCTAAGTGATATAATTTAATGCCTAATAGACGAAACTGAGTAAATGTTATCGTTGTTGATTTTTTTTAATGTAATTATTATTTTATTTTAGTTTGCGAAATTAATTTAATATTTATTTTAAATGATAGAAGGTATAGAATTTAACCGTTTTTCTTTCATTTAAAAAAAAATTATAATCATATTTTGGTTTGAGAAAGGAGTATATCTCTTAGGAAAGGACACATTTGAAAAAATCCAGGAAACAGATTTATATTTTGGTAAGATTCAACAGCGACACTCTTAAGAATTTTCTGTTTAAGTAACTTTTTCTTTCAATAAGTATAGCATTCTTTAGATCGGAGTTGCGGTTGAATTTATTTCTATGTATGACAAATGCATTTAATAAGTTATTATGTATATGATCCCTTTTGTGTTCATAGATACGTTTTTAATAAATTTCTGCAAGTTTCCCCAATATATTGTATGGAATAATTACGACAGTTTATTTTATATATACCCGCTTCAGAATTATTATTCTTATGGGTATTTTTTACTCTAAACATATCCATAATAGTTTGGGATGTGGTTGTAATTATTTTCATATTATTAAGATTAGATAAATTGTTTGGGATAGTAGATGTTTAGGAGTTAGTAGGTAATATCATATGTGTGTTTTTATTTAGTGTATTATCATTATTGTTGTTAATAATATTATTATCATTTTGGTACTTGTATGTTTTACATGTTTTTCTCTTAACGTTGTTAATGAAATAATGAAGATATTAGAGTTTTTCAAATGTATTTTTAATATATATTTCTTCTTCAGGTAAATACTGTGGGCTGAATATTTTTAGAGTTCTTAAATAAAATCCTATAACTATTCCAGATTTTATTCAGTTGCTGTGGTGAGAATAGACATTTATGAGGTCATTCGTTTCTTAAAACATTTCATTGAAGATCATTATTGGTTCGATGTCGCATGGTGTCTGTGAAGGGCAACGTGTTTTTAGTTTCAAATTGAAAAGTAGAATCTATTGTGGATTCAACTTTATTAACTTTGTTTACACGACCGACTATGATTGTGCCGTAGATAAATCAATAGAGGATCATATATGTATATAAAACAAAAAGAATTTGAGGTTAACTGTTTTTAAAAGGATGAAATTTTTACAAATTATAAAAATAGACAGGCTAAAATTTCGAAAAATAGTCAAGTTCCACACACACACACACACACACACACACATTATATATATATATATATATATATATATATATATATATACGTTTAATTAAAAAAAACAGACAACCTTAAGGGTTCATTGATTATATATTATTTCCCAAGGAAAGGGATTTTTCCTGGTTCCTCAGATCACATTTCCAAGGATAAAAAAATGGTTTAAAAATTTACATGCAACCCCTGCTTTCTTATTTGTTGTTTTTATATCTTATCTTTTTCTTCACTTTTCTCTTTGTTTTTTTTTCCATTTTCCTGTGGAAGGACATATTAAATAGATCAAAATATCTGGCACCCTTACTCTTAAGTATCTTAATAAAGATAGATTTAAACATATTTCTATCTCTCCTTTCCCTCTCTAATTCCATTCATATCTGTCGTCGTCCTCCACCTCTCTCTATCGTTGTACATCAACTTAAAACTACCTCTCAAAAACTTATATAAAATAATATGTAAAATTTTAAACCATCTTCTTTACACTTGGAAATGTGATCTGAGGAAAAAAATCCCTTTTCTGAGGAAATAAAACATAATCAATAGACCCTTAAGGTTGTCTATTTTTTAATTAAACTAATATTCGCTCTGTTTTTACACTGAGTTCTCTGGATTACATCCTCCTTCGGATTATGTTTCAGATGGAGTTTGGTAGGTTTCCTTGTGTGTTTAAATGAGTTGTGATTGAACTCTGGTCAAAGAGATGTTTTCGTGAATCTTCTTGATAGGCATCTAGTGGTATGTCCAATATAATTATTTATGAATTTGGTTTGATCAGGAATGTAGCTCGTTAAAGAACATGTGAATTCATAAATAATATTGGTCCTCTGTAATTTGGATCTTTCATGTGAGTGGTTGTAATTGACGAATCGTTTAACATTTTATATTCTCCACCTTAAGTGTATGAGTTTTGAGATGGAAAATTCTCCAGAATCGGTTGACAATAAATGAAAAAAATTGTTTTTATCCATGTGCTCTCCATGTCGACAGTATATAATATATTTGGATATGTAATCCCGACAGAGTTATAAGTTTGACTTTCGGAAAGACGTTCATGAAAGTATGTTTCGAAAATAATATCCGATAATGCATTTCGCCTATATGGCTTCATCAGATGGATAACGAAAAGATGTGTAACGTGGGTATGCATTTATGTGTGTTTGAAATACTCAAATCTTATATTATTTTTCCCAAGTTAGCCTTGCTTTGAGACTAAAAACTCGAACACTTAAGGCAGAGAATATAAAATGTTAAATGATTTTTTTAAAAAGTCACTAATTTTCTTTCTCTTTTAGAAAAACCATCCAACATTATCCATCTGATGAAGCCATTAGAGGCAAAATGCATTATCGGATATTATTTTCGAAACATACATTCAGGAACGTTTTTTCATAATGTCAATAAATTATATATTAATGTATATTTGGACAGCAACCTTTCTTTTTAACATGTATTGTTGAATATGACAGACAAGAGAAACTTAATTTTTTATTTCGTATTTTTTTTTTAC